GATATCAATCGATTTCAATGGGCCAATTCATCATACTGTGTATATGCCAAGACCATCTTCGCCTTGATGAGAGACGATCCGAATCAGTGACATCCACAGGGCATCGGGAATCCTGGAGCAAAGTTAGTGCTAGGTCTGTGTATATCTTGGTGCCTTCAGCTTATATTTCTAACTCCAAGTGCGACCCTTATTTCTTGTTAGTGGACCGTCCATACACCTTCCAACTCCACCGGACATTGGCTGACGTTTGGGGGATCCTCCACAATGACGTAGTTCTTGCTCTGGTAGGGCTGGACGATGCGATTACTTCACCAGAGCTGCTGTTTCTCACGCAAGGCACAGACTAGATCCCACTCATTGCCTTTCAAATACCCTCTCATCTTCACTTCCGTTTTAACTCAATTCCTTCTGGCTCTCTTGATTTCCGCCCAATACAGGACTCAGGGCGTCTAAATCTAGAATGAAAGCTCGGGTCGCTGTTTGACTTGCATGGTTTCTCAGTTTTGATCTTTTTTTCGCCCATCCATAGCTTCTACCAATAGACACCATTTCTAAGCCTACCGTCAGCATGGGGCCCCAAACTACTGGGAGTGATTCTCCCAAACACCACCGGGTAGGAGAACATTATGGTACACACAACCCCGTTCCCACCATTCAAAAGTTCCTAGAGCATTTGGAAAAAGACAAGCAGGACCGTAAGGCCCATGAGAAGGTTGTCACGGCGAGGGAAAAGGAGGAAGAGGCTCGTGGAGAAGCGAAGCCTCATAAGCCGCGGAAGAGACCTGGCAAAGGTAAAACCCGTATGGTTACGGACCCGACAACTGGTCGCGAGATAGAGGTCGAAGACCAGGATGCGGATTCGATGGAAGTAGTGAAGAATCCAAAGGTATGCAATCTCATAATACCGTGGCTCTATGCATCTCAAAACCGCTCGATTACTGAATTTTGCTGTAGTTGGTCGTCCCCAATGCCAACCTTGGAAAGCCAACGGTTAGTACCCCAGCACGAATTAGCTCTCTTATGGCTAGCCCAGACTGACCGTTCATGCAAAAATAAAGGATGTCAGGACCTCGCCAAGCCAAAGCCTCAAGGATTACAAAGAGAGTCAGGATATAACAGCTCCCCCCGACCCCATCGCAGAGGGTACTACTTCCGACGTCCCTCTCCACGGCGAAATCACGAATGTTCTCTTTCATCCAACCCCATCCATTTCCTACAAGCCTATGTATGACAAATTAGAGAAAAGAGGGACTGGACTTTGCATAGGGATTGTATTTGGAATTCTTTTTGTGGGCCGAATGTTTGGTGGCTCGCTATGGGCTCTCTTCCCCTTGGCTGCCTGCATTGCAAGTGGTGTGTGGCTGTGGGTACAAGAAGTGATTCGGAGTGGGCGAGAGATGGAATGGAGCAGCGAGCAACTCCGGGGGCAAATGGTAGGCTAAACTTCTGTCTTCGTCTGATGTTCAACGTACTGATATCTCACCCTCTAGGCTATTGCTAACCTCCTGCCTGAATCTGTTGAGTGGATGAACTCGTTTCTCGGAGTGATATGGGGCTTGATTAACCCGGACATGCTGTCGCCTGTTGCCGATACTATCGAGGACATTATGCAGGCGTCCGCCCCTAGCGTGGTTGAGAACGTGCGAATTGCCGAGATTGACCAAGGGAACAATCCTTTGCGGATACTTAGTTTGCGAGCTCTTCCGGATGAGCACGTACAGCACATTAAGGACAATGTTCGTGAAGAGAATCTCAAGAATAAAGACCCTCATGAAGCTGCTGCCATGGAGGAAGGCGGCAGTTATTATAATATAGAAGCTTCCTTTGCCTACCACGCAAAACCGTCCGGTCAAACCGCTTCGTCCAAAGCGCGCAATATGCATATGCAGCTAGTCTTTTATCTGGGTATCAGAGGCCTCTTTGGAGTTCCTTTCCCTGTGTTTGTGGAGTTGATTGAGATGGTTGGCACTGTGCGGATCAGATTTCAGTTGATGCCCGAAGCACCCTTTATGAAGGATATGACGTTCAGCCTTGTGGGAATCCCTCACATCAGAGCCGGATGTATGCCGATGTTCAAAGCTGGTGTCAATATCTTGAACCTTCCTCTCATCTCGAATTTCGTCAACTATGCCATTGGTACGGCGTGTGGTCTGTTTGCGGCTCCCAAATCGATGACAATGGACCTCAGTATGATACTCAAAGGCGACGATATTATCAAGGAGACTGAAGCATTGGGTATCATGTGGGTTCGTATCCACCGTGCAATCGGACTAAGCAAGCAGGATAGACGTGGCAGCTATGGTGGTGGTAGTGACCCATACATAAATCTTTCTTTCTCGAAGTACGGCAAGCCTATGTATTGTACAAGGGTGATTACAGACGACTTGAATCCAGTATGGGAAGAAACTGCGGCACTACTTGTGAATCCGGAACTTATCAATGCCGATGAGAACCTAAGTGTTGAGCTATGGGATTCAGATCGCAACACGGCAGACGACATCGTGGGTAAGGTTGAGCTGCCGATCCGTGAGATGATCCAACATCCAGCGCGGATGTATCCCCAAGTATCTAAGCTGCAGGGTCTCAACGAGGGCAGCGAGATGCCTGGTGAGCTACACTGGGAAGTCGGCTTCTTCGGAAAACCGAAACTGAGGCCAGAGCTAAGGACCGACGGCAAGAAGAAAGACTTACCCGAGAACCTCAGGGACAACCCTCAATTCCAAGATGATAAAGGGGTCATCACCAACGAGGAGGAGGATGCTATCACTCACACGCCGCCGGACCCGCTTTGGCCTAGTGGTATTCTTAGTGTTGTGGTACACCAAATTGTGAACCTCCAACTTGCAAACATTAAGGGAAGCCAGTATCGAAAAGGAAGAGAATACGAACCGGCGAAGCCATATGGCGAGAATACGGAAGAACAGGGAGGAGATCTTCCGACCAGCTACTGCAAGATTATTTTGAATGATCAGTTGGTAATTTTCGATCCAACCTATTTCACTTAACAACAACAACTGAAGCTAATTGGTGAATCTGCAGGTCTACCGTACCCGACCGAAAGCTGTCAGCTCAAAGCCCATATTCAATGCAGGCACGGAGCGATTTGTTCGAGACTGGCGATCAGCCATCGTCACCGTGACTGTTCGGGATCAGCGCTACCGAGAGCATGATCCAATTCTGGGAGTGGTCCCTCTGAAGCTATCAGAAATCCTCCAAACGAGCTCGCAGGTTACCCGATGGTACCCTCTTGATGGTGGCATTGGATACGGGCGAATTCGCATCTCTCTACTCTTACGGCATGTTGAAACTCGACTCCCTCCAAACATGCTTGGATGGGATGTCGGTACGTTCGAGTTTGCCTCAGATAAGATCATCGCGAAGAACTTCAACCATCGAGCCAAGATTAAGCTACGGACGGGTGGCAGCAGTGGCAAGATCCCACGATCCGTGGCTTCGATCGAAGGGCAGGACACTTCTTTTGACTTGACTAACGGATCTCTCCACAAGAGTGTCCGACTCCCCGTAAAACACCGTTACAGATCTCCAGTTGTGTTTGAGTTTTACTCACCAGGTAAACATGGCGCTACAGCATACGCAATCCTCTGGCTCCAGCACCTGGTAGACAACGAAGATACCTCCGTCGATCTGCCCCTCTGGTCAACGAAGAACGGAAAACGACTCACCCAGAACTACATCACGGAAGAAAACTGGGAAGCCAAACGAGAGCCAGGACTAGAAGATCTCCAGATCATCGGCCGGCTCCAGTTCACATGCCGCTTCACACCCGGCATCGATGAGTCTCATGAACGGTACGTAGTGGATAATCACTCCCGCGAGACCTACGAAACATGGGAAGCGTGTATCGCCGAAGGTGTCCGGCCCCGAAGCATCTCCCTCGAGGTCCCAGAAGAAACAGAACAAATGCATGAAAGATCATTGGTCGACGGCCGCGACGTCCTGAAGCATGCCGACCCCAAAGAGCGGCGCCAATGGATCGACAAACAAGGACAAGATTGGAGCGGTGCATTCGGCAACGACCCCAGTGCATTCATGAACCACGACGGACACAAGGTCGCCGAACCCGGCCGCGACAATCCACCATACTCCGCTGGTGGCCATTCCGTGGAGGCTGTACACCCCGAAGAAGAAGAAGAAGACGAAGAAGAAGAAGACGACGACTCCTCCTCCTCCTCATCGAGCGGGACTGAGAACTCCACTGAGCAACGACTCTCTACTGCGAATGGCTCTCAACTATCCTCTACGGGTACTCCACCCTCCACCACCGAAGATAGTCTCGCTAGCTCAAGTAAGGAGAATAAGCACACGAAAAAGGCCAATCGACGCAGTGAGCAACGACAGCAGCGCGGCCTGATGCAGTGGAAACCAGCTCGTAACGCGGTCTTCGCGCGTAATGAGGCAAAGTTTGCGCTGCGGAAAGTGAGGAAGAGGTTCACTGGCAGTCTGACTGGCCGGGAGCCCGATATTGAAACCGAAACTGGCAATTAAAGTGCGGTGTACGTGCTTACTGTATCTATATTTATCTATTCTTGACGCTTTCACGAATCATGGAACGATCTGAGCTGTTTGGTGTACGGAGTGTATAACTTTTATTTTATTTTATTTTAATTTTATTTTTTATTTATTTTTTTATTTTTTTATTTTTTTATTTTTTTTTGAGTTTTGGTTATACATTAGGGTTGCTGACGCTGCATGAGTATGATGTCACGGAGTTGGGTTGGCAATCAGTACTAGTAGTCTACATGAACCAGGTGTTCTTGTGGCATCTTTACAATCTGGGGTCGTTCACCGCCGAATTTGTTTATCTGTCCTTAACGTTCAACAGTGTGCGTATTCTTATTTATTACTAGATCGGTAGAGTCTGAATACGGAATGTGGATTTCCAGATCCACATGTTTCTATATTAATACGACTTGATCGGCAGTCGTATTCGTGTTGCACGAGGATCTTTAATGGAGTCAAACATGGTGCGAAGTAAGGTAGGACAGTGTATACCCAATGGGTTTTCAAGTATCACCGTAGATGGTTATTAGAATAGTAAGTAATAATATATAGGTATGTATATGCTGTGGTGGGAAACAAAAATGTGTATATATGCAATGGCATCATGCCGCCAACCTTGTTGGTATCGAACAAGCAAAGGCATTCTCATATAACTCCCAATGTAAAGAATAATCAATCAATAATGCTCTGGAAATAGCAGCCAAACTCAACCTGATATGTATATGAACCGGTGTATGTATGTATGAAGAGATGCTTGCTGAAAGGCTCATGGTCCCATGCCTTCTATATGCATAAATCATAATCAGAAATCCTAAACTCATCAATGCATGCGTGGCTTCCATGTCATCGCTCGTCATTGGACTGGATGTGCGTGCGCTCGTTCAGTTTCGTGAGTCATGTTACTCTTGCAATCATCATTTGTGACGACCTCTAGAGCGATGGATGAACTTGGGCTGGGATTTTGCTCTGAAATGCTGGACAAAGATGTAAGGTTCGAGACCCAGGATCGAGGACTGTCATTCTCGTTGTCCGGCGATGTTGTGGCATTGGAGGCAGGGGATATGTTTGGGATAGTTTCTGTCGGGTTGGATGTTGTTTTTTCTTCAGCCTGCGAAGGTTGGGCAGTTCCATCCCGTATTTCTAGTGGTCCCAGGGTCCATCGCCATTCGCAGCGACGTTTGGCCCGATTTTGACATGGCGTTTGTGGGGTGGAGGCGCCATCTTTGTCAATCCCGTCCATTAGAGCAACAGCTCGGATTTGTTTTTCCGCACTCAAGTGCTTCCGCTTTTTCTTTCCGAATGATTTCAACGGGTTATTGCTCGATTTTGCCTCCACATCCTCATCCGTTGTGCTCGCATCGGATGGCTCCGCACTCGTGTTCGAATCCGAATCCTCCCCGGAGCCAGCTTCGTGGGATTCAGGATTGGGCTGGGTTGTGATATCGGAGTGGCGCGCGGTATAGCGCACGGTTTGGATTTCTTCTTCCAGCGGCTGCCGATAGCTTACTTGTTTCTTGGCGGGGAAAAAAACACGGCGTGAGCCCGGTCCTCCATTGGGCCCGTTCGCGGGCACCGAGCCCCGGCGCCTGCAGGTGGGTTCTAGCGGCGAGTTGCGAAGAATGCTTTTGACCCCAAGAGGGAGTTGATAAGGGCTGTTTGTGGTATATGGCGACGAGGGTTTGCTGAACCGGTGACTAGATGATCTTGAGGGGGAAGCAGTGGCTGAGGATGGTACGGCGACTTCATAGGCATTTTTAAAAGTGTTGCGAACCGTGGGGGACGCTGTCGGCCCGGTAGCAAGCGAAAGAGACAATCCCGTCGACGAAGTGCCGAATGTCATGGGAAGTGAAGTCGTTTGGAGGGTCAGTTTGGGTCTCATAGTAGGTCGTCGGTTACTTGTCACGTTGGATGACAGACTGCAGGACAAGTTCGAGTGAGAGACGGTCGATGGGCATGGTGAGGTCTGAGGAGTGACCGTGGGCATAGTTGTTTGCGAGGCCGTCAGACCTGCTTCGGAAGAAGGATAATGTGATGTTGGCGGTTGCATGGGGGCAAGAAGCATGGCGATGAGTCCTTCAGCAATAGAGCTCAAGGTGGAAGGAGATGGGGAAGAGAGTAAAAGACAGAGACGAAGAAGAAGAAGCAGAAGGAGAAAAAGAAAAAGAAAAGGAAGAAGATAGGGTCGATGAACAGTGGAACAAACAAGTGGTGACTCGAGAGGCCAGGATGAGGTGCGCCCCGCACTCAACAAGGCCAGCGAGTGCGAGTTGTAAGTGATGTGAAGGACTGGTAACGAGGTGATAAGAGGAAATCTAATGCATTGGACTAAGAGTGATCACAGTGCAAGGTAGTATAAGAGCCCAGGAAGTACTAGTAGTACTCTGGAAGAGGAGTGGCGGATGGCACTGGAGAAAAAGAGGAGACGACGTGGGCGTTCATCCAATGCCAGCGAGAGAGGGTTTCCTATTTTAGGAAGACCGCATCGGAGGGGTTGGAAAACTGATGTCGATCTCCAACGGCGGTATTCCCGAGTACTCACTATGAGAACCACAAGAAGAAAGATTTTTTTTCTTTTTCTACCATGTGGCAACCTCTCAAGATGTATATAAGAAATTTTAAACGTGAGGAAAAAAAAAAAAAAAAGTGCGCATGTGAAG